CCACAAGCTAGACAATGGGAACTAGTTAAGATGGTTTACAGTCTTCACCAAAAAAAAAGCATTAGAAAAAACACCACCACCCCACAAACCAGATCCACGTGCAGTAACCAGGGAAGCGACAAAGAGGATTAAGTAGCAGCATCGATACCTTAAGGAAAAATTGCCAAACAATTTGCAACGCCGCTGTAAAGCTCACACTGCACTAAATGTGTCCTTACACAAAGTTCAGGCTTCCTCCACTTTTAAAACAGACGCAGCACTAGGTATTCACACAAGGAGTACAGTGTCTTAGATGCTACAAACTCGCGCTATAACTTACTCAGCACCCACTTTTCTTCACAGGCAAATTCTAAGTAAGTAATTCCCAACCCCTTATTCTTGTTAAGCCCAGTCCTCTCTTACAGCTTTTTTTTCCCTCTTCCATGAAATTTAAGAATAAATTTAAATTTTCCTCTTTCTACTACTACTATTGGCCACAATATGTTTGTATTTTTGTCCTCCTCTTCCCCTCACTCTTGGTTTGATGACTCAATTTTGTATGTCAACTCATTTTATTTCCTGAATTTCCAGCATGGTGTTTTTCTTTACTCACTCTTCCCCTTTCCACTCTATCTCTTCCTCTAATCTATTGTCAGCAGATTCACGGTGCTTCTGGTGACACCTTTATATGAATACTTTTCCTTACCAACACTGCCAACTGACTGCGTGCTGCTACAGAATCTGCAGGGAGCAGCAACCTGCAGCAGCTTTCAGAACAGAAGAAATAGCAAAAACATTACTAGGAAAGAAAGAGAGAGGAAGAAAACACAAAGTCATTCACTGTGAGAGATTAGCAATAACCCTTCCTCAGATCAACCAGGGTTTGAAGCAACTCTGAAGGAAAGCATGAAGGCTGGATCGTGGGGTCTAAACTCTCTAGGTAATTTGCAATTGTAGGGTAGACAACAGTTTGGGGGAAACTGATAGCTATGGATAAAAGATGGTGGGAAGTTCGCATAGTTAGGGTTGGGATTTTTTCTTTAAATCCAGGCCAGAATAATATTATAGGCAACTCATAATAGATAGCTATTCTGTATGGAGGGAATAAAATGTTACAATATATAACCTACTTGTTAAACCCGAGGCACAAAACAGCAAATATCACTGTATTTGTACATTCTACTTTACAAACTTTTATATTGTCAAATTCCTGAAACAAGGAATATTGCCCATTTTCCAGCATCTAAAATAGCAGAAGACACAGATCAAAGAAAGCTGCTAAAAAATGCCTATACAGATAATCTCATTTCATCTAGAAGACACTGCTTACCTTCAGAATGCCAGCTATGGTGGCAATCTGAATTGGAAGGAACATGCAAGGAACTGGATACCTCTAACATGGAAACTTTTTTTTTTCCCCCAGAACTAACTGTGGCTTTGAGGGAAATAATAAGTATTTTGAGAATGTACTGCTGGTGAAACTACACCAATATCATTCTAAGCAGTCTGAAACATGCTCTCTTTACAGCAACAGTAACCATCTGGAGCTCTGTCAGAGCAAAGTGGACTTTGACAGTGGTTCCAGCAGAACCTGAGGAAGATAAATGGCTGTAGAATGTTAATTCTGTAGCTTGAGGGCAAGTGTGTATGGACACTTAAAGCAGAGAGGAAAAAGAACGAATGCAAATGCTTTGGTTAACATTAAACTGAGATTGCCGTTGCTGCTCTGCCTTAAAGGGAAAAAAAATACCCATACCAGTGGAGAGGACTACAAGGGAGGAATACTCTATCCAGCTCACTACCATAATTCTCCATTTATGTCTGAGATTAGCTTGTGCTAAGCATTCTTGGATAAAAGGGATTTTCAAACAATCCATGTTTATGACAAGGTGCTCCAACAAGTAGAAAAGGTAATCTACCCATCCTGGGCTATTTGGAATTTGAATCCTATGTCTACATAAACTACTCTGTAACTTTGTGATTGGCGGGGGAAAAAAGCTCTCTATGTTCTACCATAGAGTGTATGTAAAAATAAAACGTATTTATTTTTAGTATTTGGCTCTAGATAGACGTGTGAATCTCCACAAAAAAAGGCTGAAAAAAGTTTAAGGTGCAAAATAATCTTGGAATAGCAAACTTGGGTGTCCACTGAGAACCACCCTTGCTGTGGGCAGTAAGAGCCAACCATCACCCAACTCTCTCCTCTCCCCTGCAGCAGTACATGACAACACAGGGAATATGTCTGATCCACACAGAGCTTTTGAAGAAAATCTAGCGTCAGGCAGACACACACTTACAGACATGAAAACCAACAGCTTAGCAGGGCTTCAAAATGGCACATATGTGAAACATCACCTTCCAGTTACACTGTATGCATAGCATGTCTTTAAATATTGACATGACAATTGAGCAGTCAGGGCTTTGGGAGATGTTTCAAATCGGTGGTATAGCCCTTGCTCTCCTAGCTTCTTTCACCATTCTGGCCACGCAGTCTCCTCCTGGTGCCAGCCAGGAGGTGAGGGTGTATTTGCCTTCATTTGGTGCTCCTCTCACCATGCTGGAAGCTATGGCTCTTGTTTTTAAAGGTGAGACAAAGAAAGGGCATGCATCACAAAAAACTCTGCCAGAAAACATCATGGTGACAACAGCTATCATTCAGGAAAACATAAGCTTTTCCTTACTTGAAAACAAATACCACTAAAAGTATTCTGGCTATCCATCACGAGTTCTTGCCTAAAGCAAACTGCTGATATAAACCAATCTTGGAATATCTGACTTATCTTGACCCACACTGCAACATCACCTCCCCTCCCACCCCGGGAAACAATGCATGCAGCTCTTTTACCGCAAAGAAGTCACCATCACCTTGTTGATTACATAACTCCATAGTGATCAATCTCTTACAAGTAACACCCATGTGTTATAAACATCAGCAGAAACTTGAGAAACCGGATCCTCCTGTATTTCCATCTCCCCTAGACTCAGTATGGTATTTACTGTAGCCCCGTGAAGACCTGCAATACCATTTTAGAGAGGATACTGAGACTTTAAGAATTGTTTTTGTTCCCATTTGGCACAAAATACAAACCATTTTGAAATCCTGATCAAACAGAAAGGATTGTTCTCTACCTAATTCTGGGATAGTCCAATTTATGAGAATAGTCTACAACCAAAGCAGAGTTCATCAGCCAATGCTACATTTCCCAGAGCTGTGAGAGCTACCACGGCTACACAATGGCAAGTCAACCACCACTTTTCCCTGCCCACAGGACCCCATGATGCACAACGACTGCTGACGTCCACCAAGTACATTCTCCATTGCTGACATCTACCTCTGCTATTAATATAGTGGGGCTGTCTGGGGTTTTGTTTTGCTTTTTTTTTTTGTTTTTTTTTTTGTTAAGGCAAGGCCCTCTGAGTCATCAGAGCTAGAAGGGGAAGAGAAGCCAATTGGGGTGAGAAAGTAGAGGAAAGAAAGAATGTACTGTTCAGACTACTCTCTGTCACTGTCCAGGCTTGTTACAGAGGTAGCTCTTAAGCAAACTTCACAGACAGGTGAGGAGAAGAAAGAAACTGCTTTTGACAAATAATCTAGATGTACATACCATGCACTCTTTTTTCCCTTCCAAACAGAACTGTTTAAGTACTGTTTCCAACTGAGCACAAAACCTCAAGCCATCAAAGTTTCCAAAACAGCAACACAGTATGATTTTTGATGAAAATAAACAAATGCGAAAAAATGCAATGTTCCTTCAAACACCTGAAGCTCCTGAATCCTCTGGATAGAACCAACAATTCTGAAGTGACATTATCAATGTTCTGCTAACCCTATGTTCCTTAATTAGCTACACTTGCTTTCATAGACAGTCCAGTTTTATACCATCTACAGCATGTTTTCCACACATGCACCTCTTTTCGTCAAACACAACTTATTGTTAGTCCTACCCACTACTAGCGAACAGTACAAGAGGGTAAGGCACGAGTAACTTCAGCCCTCTACTGAAGAAACTACATTTATGTAAAATATCTATAAATCCAGAATTTTTTCAATACATATGAGAAAATATTGTTCTAGCTAATAAGTACTCTAATCAGCAGCTAATTATTTGTGTATGCATATAGAAATATAAACCCATCATATGGCTATCTATATTTTCTCATGTGTTGCGTACACCTACATATATATATTTTACACACTTGCTTCATCAACAGAACATGCGACTCTGAATGCCATTATGGAAAATATTTGTAACAAATCTTTTCTCCAGACCTGCTCCTTCCATCTTCTTGGCACTGAAGGCTGGAAAACTTTGCTTTGATATGTTAAAGTTTGTATGAATAGCAAAGCAGAGAATTCAATTCAAGGTCAACTTCTGATTTAAAAAGCAACTAATGTCCAGCTTTTTGTGTATCAAACCTGAATATGTATTACAGAGATAGGACTAACACTGTAACGTCGATTTTTGCTAAACTGAAGTCATGCTCAAAAACTGAACATCTACAGAGTCTACAGAAAGTGACAGACTGCGCTTCCATTGGAAAACAGATCTTTAAGTTGTTAAGAAGAGATAAAGAATGATAATGTCCTCAGACAACAGCATCTGAGCAAACACTCATTACAGTGTATTTATCCAAACCCAAAATTGGGCTCTAAATCTTAATAGCCCTGCATCTAAGCGTAGCTTAACACTGTCTTGAAATAAAACTAGGTTAATACATCATACAGAGAATAACTAACACAGTCGTTGCCTAAATAAAAAACATTTAAAATTTTATAACAGGTTACAGTAAAATGCACTAGGGTTCTGTAGAAAAAGAACATTTCTTTCCTATAAACACTCAAGTAGCTTCTAAGCTCTACCACAACATATAAACACACACCTTTTTGTAGCAGAAGAAAACAAAACACAATTATATGTAATTTTTAAAAATCACTCACTTGCCACTAAACTGAAAAGGGAAACGTGTTTCACATGCACAATCACACTAGTGGAAAAATCATCACTTAATATTCAGGTTACTTACAGATTTGCTGTCCAGCTTGCAAGATCTCCGCTGTCCATAATAAGGTGATTTCCGTCCAGCAGCCCTGGGGGACTACTAGAGAAGGCAGGTGTCGGTGTTGGAGACTGGGAAGAAAGAGAATCCATGCTCCCAGGTGGGGTGTCTTCTCTGGGAGAGCTGTGACTGTCAGCTAGAAAAGAGAACAGAAGTCAGTAGGATACTAAAAGAATCTTCTCATAAGCCAAAGTAGCTGCTTTGGTAAGAATGTCCTGAAATATATGCGAGAAGAAATCTTACTATCCCATCTTCACAGGATATTTTGGAGGACAAGCATTTCCCCAAAAGGTACCATTGCACAATTTCCCCCACCATTATCACCAGGCTATCTTCACAACACACCATATTCCCCATCTCCTTTTCAACATGCATTTTATGTGGATGAAACACTAGATTTTGGGGCGTTATGTTTAGACAAATGCATCACTTCAGATAAAAAAAATAGTTTAGGCCATACACATTTGCACATCTCTCTAAAAACACAGTCTCTAAGTCTCTAAAAATAATTTCATACACATTTGAGGAAATGATTGCTCTCAAGTAGCATAAGCACAATCCTATCAAACATGAAACAATGAAATTTAGAAAGGTCAGAATAAACAGGAGATCTCTAACAAGCACGCAATACCCAAGACTTACTTTTATTACTCCTTTTTAGCGGTGTTACTTTTAAGAGAACTTGTTTTATTCTGGTCTACTATTTGTTTGCATATGCTACTCTTAGAACACCATTCAAGAGGCAACACATCCAGATATGATTGCTTAAGAAAATACTAAAGGAACACCATTCCTATCCCATGGACAGTAAGAATAAGTTGACAGCACTCACTGCAAACCATGCCACACATCTAGCCAAACAGCACGTTCTGCACTGAAAAGCTAACCTTCACCCACATAGCTTTTCCCCTATAATTTTTTATTTAAACATCAGCTGCACATTTTATAAATTTTAAAGGTGGTGTATGAAATGACGACAATTGCAAACAAAGTGTCCAGCACAGCTAAGACTGCAGTCTCAAATGAGGCCTGTGGCTGTTTTCAGAACATGAATATGTAACAGTAATAAGGATCATTTCCAGCCACCCTTTACAAGGCTCCCTGCATCCTTTCCTTTCCTTTCCTCTGCCCATCCTACTCCCAAACTAGCACCCGTGAACATGGCCCACAGTCCTACTAAACAACATCACAAAAGTCCCTCTAGAGTGGATTAGATACTGCTGACCCCACAGTCCTGGTAAAAGAGTTCTGCTCCTTTGGGGCCAAAAGTTTTTTGAGAAAAAAAAATGAACAACCAAGTCCTAACAAAGCATCACAATAATATGATGAAAAGGTTGCTTGACAAGCTGTATCTCCTATATACAGTACTACGCAAGACGACGTCCTGGACAATATTACTTTCTAATTCAAAATGAATTAGTATCTGCACAGTGAACAACTGAGCTTAATTCTACTCCAAGATAAGCAGTCCTGTTGCAATAATTTCTTTCATGTATTATTTCTTTCTTAATTAATTAAAAATGCAACAACAATGAAACGTGGACAATAAAAAGCCACCTTCACTGGATAAAATCCTTCAACCAGTTCAATTCCTTCTGCTTCAAAAGCAGAAAGCTAACAAAGCACTCGCCTGCTTCCCCAGCCATCTCGCCCTCACCCCCTCCCAGCAACTCCCAGAGAACAGCTTCCCCGGAGAGTAAAATGACATACAAGTAAAAACACTGAAATGATAGAAGTGATCATCGGGAAATTTCTCCCTAAAGCAGCTGCTAATTTAAGGATCTAAATTAGCCCACAGTAACAAGGTATGATAAGCTCTGAGGAGGAGAACGTTAACCTGGAAAAGTGAGTCACTCACACTCCAGCCCAGTCCTGCTCACCTCACAGCTCCTCGCGGCACCCAGGCCACGATGCTGCCGCTCACGTTTACATGACATGACATGAGAACCGTAGGAGTGTCAGGCAAAAACTAATTAATTATATCTCATTTGCAGACGTATGTGTCACCGTGATAAACACCTGAGAGATCAGACAGTAATACTGCAATTTTACTTTATAAAAGAAACTGAATTCCTTAAAACTAAACAGACTTGAATTCATCGCAATTTCTTTTCAAAGTACTAGTATTAATGCAACCCAGATTATCAAACAACATACACCACATTTGAAGGCCACGTTTACCTCAACCATTCACTTAACATTATTAAAACAGCAGCAGAAGGAAACAGTAACCTTTCTGTTGCAGTAACCATAATATTCTTTAATATTATGAATATGACCAACTCGCCACACCTCCCTACAGAAAGCAGAGGTTTTTCTGTTGAATCATTTCTCAGAGCACACAGAAAAAGTACAACAAAACCACAATGAACACTTCAGTCACGTACAGTAAAGTCTACGTTGGAGACTGCAGAAGACAGACAATTACACTTGACATTATCATAAATGAAATTGTGCGTTTAATCTTTCCTCAAATTTTACTTCTTCCTTCCCTTCCTTCCTTCCTGAGCCAATGTTTTCTCATGGTCAATACTGCACTCAAGAATTTAAGATCAGGTTTTGAACACTAAAAACAAATTAGGTGTTTAAACAGGAAAACACCAGCTAAATTCTATGGAATTAAGCAAACACCCTCTAAAAACACGTTCAAAGACACTTTACATTTCTGATATTTTCAATTATCTGGTTTTGTAAAGTAAAACAATATCTTTATTCAGGAAAACGCAATTCTGTGTAACTGCAAAAACAGATGACTAATGATCACCTAGCATATTTTCATTATTAAACCCAATATATGCTCAAAACCTATGTCCTCGAAATACAGCATCATCACTCTAATTTCAACAGTACAAAGACCTCACCCTGTATATCAGTGACAAAAAGTTCTGCTCACTTCCGAAATGACAGTAACTCCTGCACACAGCAGAAGCCATAGAATTGTATCTAGTTAGCTCTCTGTTAAGCTTAATAACCTGCTTTTGATTAATGCCCGTCTCATGTTGGGCCAAACTGTATCTTCCAAAGAGTCTTTGTCTGAAGACATCAGCAGATGATAAAGGTAGTGGAGAACCAATTGGCTGCTAATTAACATACTCACTGATTAATGCATGCACCTTCACTTTGTTAGGCTGTATTATCTGGCATGACCCATGTAATATCAATTGCTAATAATTACAGTACCTTTTATATCCACTTTTTGTGCTGTGTGAAGGTATTTAAACCATCTCCTTTGTAAGTTTAACGCTAAATCTCTTACTGTAAGGGATTTTAGAGTTTTGAAATCAGGCACCTGTTTTATAAACCTGCTACAATTTCCCAGAGTTCTTTCTGAAGAGCATGCATCAGACCTGAATTAATGATTATTTTTGTTGTTATTGTTGTTGTGGTCCCACAAGTGCCATGTTGAGCGCTAATTCCGCCACTTCCTCCTACTCATCAATCCCCTGTTTGTACATCTAAGGCCGGCACGTTTTTGCCACAGCTTTAAATTAGTAGTTTACATGAGCTGATTGCCCACTGTGGCTAACAGACTTACAGGCACCGTTTTTAGGGACATAGTCCTCCATTCTGTAGCTGCAGGCTACGTTTTTCCTCTAAAATCTGTACACTTATTTCTCAATACAACCAAGCTTATTTTGTTTCAGTGGGTGCAGCTTAGCACGACCACTACTCCTACGTAACTGCCATTGTCATTATTTGCAATTCCTCCTCACTTTGTCCCATATGTAAATATACCATCAAAGATTTGTATTAACCTTTCTAAATATTGCTATTACATTAGCATTCCTTCAGTTTCTTCAAACTTCTTCAGCATGCTACAAGATTTTTAAAAATTAATATTGCCAACCCATACAACCTCATGACCAACGAACTTTTTTTAGGACAAGTTAGATGGTTTCACAGTATTCAAAATACTCACATTGCCACAGGTCTACCTGTGAACATTTCTGCTTGATCATGCTGATTATAAATCCCACATTGATTTTCATAGCTAAGCTCTTTTTAACAATTCTTCAAAACTTTCAACAAATATTGACTGTTAGCTATTTCATCTTTTCTTTCCCCCTCCTACCCTTTTCCTGCATTTTGCTTTCTGGAGCCAGTAAAGGTCCCAAACTGCTGGAGACTAAGTAGTCTTTGAAGTGTTGACATAGGTTGTTTGTTAAAGAGTGTTTTAATTGCTGGGATTGAATCAGCTTTATGGTTTTCATTTTACCTCAGAATTCAGGGGCTCCCTAATATTGATAGTCTAATATTTTTACTCTTTCTCTCCTCTCACTCCTCTTTACCTCCAACATTGTTCTCCAGGGAGCGACATTGTTAGGTTTCCCACTTCTATGAAAAGGCTGACTGCCACATTGGACTGACAGGTCCTTTCGAAGAGGAGCTCCAGAATCTTCCTGTTCTTTTCTACCACTTGAATTCTAATGAGCTTTTACACAATAAACTAGGGAAGATGTGGCTTCTTCTAAAGCTAATTTATATCATTCTTTGAGCACACAGTTCGGTGTTCTTGGTGCCTTCATTTTCCCCTCTCTAAAAACGTCAAACCTTCTCCCTTTTCTGTCTCATTACACTCTCATTTTTGGGTGCCAGAACAGATGAAGGACGTGAGGGTTCTCAGTATAAAAGCAGTAAGTCTGTATGATGTCTCATAAATTTTTGTCAACACTCCAGCCATCAACTCTTCACCCTTTGTTCTTCATATTTGTGGGAAGCCTCTGAGTGCCTTCAGCTTGGTCGTCTTTCTAGAGTTGCCACCAAGCTGCTTCTACGATTCATCTCCTCATCCTACGCAAATAGGTGTAAGCTCCAATTTTACTCTCAGAGTTAAAACTTCTTTCATATTCTCACCCCTTTTTGCATACTATTTAATTTTTTTGACTGCTCAGATCCTTTTAAACTGTCATCTAAATTATCTTCTTGTTTCACTGTTCTAATCACAACACTCATCCAAGCCTTACAGCTTTCACTGTGCCTCTGCAACAGATACCTGTGCTTTACCTTTATGGTTGTTCATAGTTCAGACCAGCCCTATCTAGAGCCTAACCATTTACTGGTTGTGTCTAGCTGGTACTGCTTACCATTCTGTTTCTAATCCCAATATCCTTCTTCCTTCCCCCGCCGCCCCGCCTC